GGGTTTGGGCCCGATCAATTTGCTCATTATTTTCCCTACAAATCACTTGATGAATCACCATCCGTGCAAATAATAGCTTTTTCTTGAACCTTCTCCACTTCAATAGCACCAACCCCACCGTTTGTGGGCAAACTTATCAGCAATGCTTCAATATTACTATCGATAGTAGCAATTGCTGGCTTGAGTGCATTTTCAAATTTAGAATTCTTTCCCTTTACATCTTTACTTAACAATAGCTCATCCAATTTCTTTTTTCTCTCCAACCATTCACCAATTAATTTGCTATCTGCAACCAAAAGCACCTTCAATTCTCCACTCTCCAAATCCTCATAATCACCATCCTCGTAATTCATCCTGTACAAACCAGAATCGTAAGATGCAACTTTTCCCAAAAACACCCCACTGCCGTCAAATTCTTTCATTACATACCTACCAACTATTTTTTTTCCGACCTAGTCTCCATTATCTTCGTCTTGCCATCACGATCCACTGTTACATTCTCTACATCCCTTGTCTTCCTTTTTCTCCCTCTACGCCTCCCCGATCCAACCACGGCAGCCTCCATTTTTCACCACCCAAACTTAGCCCAAAATAAATCCAGCACTCAAGGATTTCTCTTCCTTGGATATGTTTGATTTATCAGTGACAAGTAATTTCCTTCATCGCACCTGTTTCAGTAGATTAACACAAATTTCAGGATCTTCACAGATTCATATCCTATCCTACACATATAAAAAGAGTGAGGAGGCTTGTCACTGTAGAATTTATGGTAGGTCCAAAAGGACACCGTTTTTTGTGAATGGCAGAACGACGTCGTTTTGGTAATTGGATTTTTTTATACCTCCAATAATGCGACTTGTTGTCCTAGGATTTTTTTTGTTTGAGATCTTTCTGTCTCTCTTCGTTTCGAACTCTTCTCCATCGTCTCTTCATCATCGTCGATTTGGTACCTTCCGCAAATCCGACTTCGGTTCCCTGGTCATCTAACTTTGGTCGTTGGTCTGCTCATCCTCGTCGATCTACCCGTGTTTGTTTTTTTTTTTTTTTGCCTTTTGGTGTTTTTTCCTTCAATATGTTTTTTTTTCCAAATAGTTTCAATTTTTGGGTTTTCATCGCCTTCCTTGGGTTGATCTAGCTTTGTTTAGTCGTTGTCTGCCTTTTTTCGGGTTATCAGTGGTCTAATTTTCGAAATTTTTTCGTTGTCTGGGTTGATTCTCGCTGTCAAAAGGCTCGAATCTTAAGTGGATTCATTCGATCTTTTTTTTTCTCCTTCTTTCAAATGTTGGGTTTTCATCTTCTTCCTTGGATCGATCTAGCTTTGTTTAATCGTTGTGTTCCTTTTGTTGCTTTTTTTCGGGTTATCAGTGTTATAATTTTAAAAAAAAAAATTCCTGCTGGGTTAATTCTCGCTGTGAAAGGGCTCAGATTTTGAGTGGGTCGAAAAAGGTAAGGTTTTGTTTCTTTTTTCCTTGCTTGTCATTCATTTTCCAGGAGAAGATTATTCATTTTGGGTAATTTATTTACGTTCTTGCTTGGACACAGGATGAAGAACGAAGTTGAGAAGAAAAAGGGAACACCTTGGACGGAAGAAGAACGCAGGTATAACAATCACTCAAAGATTCACATTCCAATAGTCATGATTTCTGGTTGAATATTTAATTTATTTATTTTGTTCTGGATATGAAATGAGAATTCTATACAACCATTGAATTTATTTTTTAAACTACAATTGAAAAGGAACGAAAATCTTTATTATTCTTAATGCACCTGGAGGGTTTTTTTAATCTTGAGAGTATCACAGAATTTTGGATTTATGCTATGTGAATTTGTTTCGGATTTTTTTTTTTGGATAATTGTTTAACGTGGATTAAA